AGATTTCTTCCCCCTGACCATCCACTGAGGAAAAATAAAAAGGACTTCTTGAAGGGAAAACATGCTTTGAATGAATTTCCACCTGAATCTCTAACTGGTGAGCAAGTTTATTCGGAGCGGTTAAAAGGTGTCAATCCATCAAAAACATCTGATTGTGGTGGAAATGGTCACGACAAGAAGAAACCTGGATATGGGAAAATCCATAACTGGCACAAGGAAAGCATATTCTGGGAGCTACCGTACTGGAGGGACCTCAATCTTCGACATAATCTTGATGTGATGCATATTGAGAAGAATTTTTTTGATAACATCATGAATACTCTTATGAATGTGAAGGGTAAGTCGAAAGACACAATCAAGTCAAGATTAGACATAGAACTTTTTTGTGATAGGGAACATTTGCATCTTGATAGCAAAGGCGAAGCTCCTTTCCCTCCCTACACATTGAACAAGACCGCAAGAACAAGTTTATTGGAATGTGTGAAACATTCGGTTAAATTCCCAGACGGTTATGCTTCAGATCTATTTAAGTGTGTTGATCTTGAGAATGGCAAATTTTCCGGCATGAAGAGTCATGACTGCCATGTTTTTTTGGAGAGACTACTTCCATTTATATTTGCAGAGCTCCTAGACAAAAATGTTCATCTTGCGTTATCAGGTAATAATTTTTTTTTGTTTAATTTATGAAAATTTGAAAACTATATGTGTTGCTAATTTGTGTTGTACTCACAATCTGGAACTTGAATTTATATTGTAGGGATTGGTCTATTTTTCCGTGACTTGTGCTCGAGGACTTTGAAAAAAAGTCTGGTCAAAAAACTTAAAAAGGACATAGTTTTGATAATCTGCAATTTGGAAAAGATCTTTCCAGCTTCATTTTTTGATGTGATGGAACACTTGCCCATACATCTCCCATACGAAGCTGAACTAGGAGGCCCCGTGCAATATAGGTGGATGTATCTTTTTGAAAGGAATTTCAAAAAGTTGAAAGCAAGTGCAAAGAACAAAAGATATGCGGCAGGATCGANTCAGGAGATATCTTTTTTCTCAGAGCACTACTTTGCCGACAATATACAAACGAAATCAAGGTAAATACATATATGTGATTTATATATGTTCACTTTTTTAGTTGTAACATGTTATCTTTTCATTATTTGGGCAGGTTCACAAGATTCCAAGAAGGTGAAGTCCCCGTATATCATGTCGAAGGAGTACCTGATATATTTAGTCACGTAGGTCGTCCAAGTGGAGAAATGCAAGAAATATGGCTATCCGAAAAAGATTATCAATGCGCACATTCATATGTTTTGCGAAATTGTGATTATTTTCAGCCACTTGAGAGGTATATAATTTGACTATTGTTAACCTTATGTTTTTTTTTTGATATATCCTAAACTGATATATATATATATATATATTGTGTTGGTCTAATATAGGATGTTCGAAGATTGTATCAGTGCAAAATATCCAGACTTTTCCGAGAAAGAACTATCTACTAAGAGAGCCGATGAATATCATATATGGGTGAAAGATTATGTATGTCTTAGTAATAATACATGTATGTTAAGTGTTTTTCGTTCTTTATATTGATATATATATAATCATATATGTGTGTGAAATTTATGTATACAGGTTAGATACTGGAGCAACACACATCCTTTTCCTCTTTGGGTTAAAGATATGGCGAATGGCCCCGTGAATAAAGCTAAAACATGGCCTATCTATTTGACAAGGGGTTTTCTGTTCCATACACAGAAACATGGCGAGGGACGAAGGACTTGTAACCAAAATGAATCAAAATAAAACCCGAAATCTATGCTCATATTTGTTGTCCCGTAGTCTCTCTTTTCAGTCGCTAAACAGTCACTAAAACGTGGCTAAATCGGTCACTATTTAGTGGCTAAATCGGTCACTCTTTCAGTCGCTAAACAGTCATTAAAACGTGGCTAAATCGGTCGCTTTTTAGTGGCTAATCAGTCGCTAAAATTACCGACTGTTTAACAACTACGAAGTAGTCACTAAATTACGTCATTAATCAGTCATTATTCAGCGGCTATTTTAGCGACTATTAAAGGACTATTTAGCGACTATTTGATGACAACCGTATCGGTCG